AATAAAAAAAATAAAGCTCTCTAGCCGGCTCGTGAGCTCATAACAACTAAAAAAAAGGACGAACTCGAAAAATTCTAGTTCGAGATTTTTTCGAACCAACTCATCGAGCTCACGAGTCGGCTCAACTCGTTTACTAACCATGTTCGAAAGAACTCATACTTTCATAAAGCGCAAAACACAAGCTAATTAATTGTAACTACGACTACTAATTAATTAAGCATCTCCATATAATTCCCAATGAAAATCTCTTCATACATGTAAATTCAGCGGGAGAAGAGAAGAACACAAGGCGAGAAGAATTGTCGCCGCCCATTCGCCGCCGAGGGGAGGGGCGGCCGCCCAACCGCCGATGCTTGAAGAGGAAGAGAAGAAGAAGATGGAGGAAGGAGGGAGGAGGAGGAGAAGATGAAAATTCGATTTTTTGGCAAAAAAATTTAGATGTTGATTTATTGGCGAAAAATTGTCACAAAAATCGACACCTAGAGTTGATGTCAATTGCTTGCTAAAAAAATCAACATCTAAATGTCGAATTTTGTGACAAAAATCGACATGCGTATGTCGAATTTTGAATGCGCGAATTTCTTTTTGAAAACTTAAAAAATCGATTACCTAACTATAAAAATGCATTCATTCATAGTTTGTTTTCTACTTTTTCTCTAGAATTTTATAATTGTGAATTTTGTATTTCAGTAAGGGTATAATAGTCTTTTAATAATTTATTTGGTGAAAAATTAAATTTGATCTTCACATTTGCAAAAGCTTTTCAAAACAGCTTCTGAGTTTTTCTTTTTCCCCCTCATAGTTTGTTTTTAGATATTCGCAAAATCAGATTTTGCTTTTAATTCTTTTTCTATAAGTTGTTCTAACCTATTTCTTCAAAGAACCCCTGGACATATTTTTCCTATTTAAGTTGATTTTCGAACATGTTTTTTCCTATTTAAGTTGATTTTCGAACATATTTGCAAACGCCCAAACTTTTAGAAATAAACACTTAATACCCACTTAACTCACAATCACCGACTTCTATTTTTGAATAAGCTAAACACCACCTTACTTGGAATTAGAGATTTCCCCACTTTGTTAAATAAATAAGAATGATGAGTGATTTAAATTTGCTAGACTGGAATTGAATAAATTAAAGATCATCCAAAGATTTTCCTGCCAAAGCATAATCAAATAACTGTAACTATAATTATAAGTTATAACATCTACCCTCAAACACACACGGCTAATTTCGTCTGTCAAGAAATTCTACACGTGATCCCGTTAGACCGACCAGTGCCAAAAAATGAGAACACTACATCTAAAATTTTATTTACACAGTTCACTGTGAGCTGCTACACCTATATATATCAAGACTCTTACAAGGTACAACTAACTATGCACAAAGTACGATAGAATTAAAAACAGATAATATACCTCAAATCCTTTGTCCTAAATTGCTCGTGCCCTTATCTGGAAGACGAGAAAGTTCCTTATCGGCAAAATGAAGAAGCCTTCTAAGTCTCAAAACCATATCACAATGAAAAGGCAAAGCCGATCTCCTATCTAAATACGCTGGACTAACAGTCATCCACGACAATGCATGAAGCTCAGCTGCTATCGAATCAAGAATTACGTGCGTCTCCGACTCGAAATCCTTGCTTTGCTTATTACTGACACCTTTATTCGCTAATAACTTTTCTTTGCTGAAGTTATTACCTCCGTAATAGTCAACTAAACTAACAGAAAGAATTGAAGGCCATTCTTCTTTTGAGTGGCTTTTACTGTCTTTCCTCATTGAAGGTACAGCTTTTGAGACGACGAAACCGGTAGAGAGGGGAATTGCCGAGCCTTTGCTGTGTAGAAGATGGGCTAAAGGAGGGGAATCTGCAGTGAGGCATGTGGGGAGTTGAAGAATCGAGGGGGGGAGGAAACGCATTCTTGGTGAAGGAATTAGAATGTAGGAGGCTGAAGTAGAGCCGAGGGATTTGACAGGTGTGTATCCTTCGAGATACACTGACTGACCAGATGTAGCACTACCTTGACTTGTCCCTGTAATAGAAGAAACAGCAAAAGCTTAGGAAACTGATAATAGAACCAAAAAAATAAGTATAAATCGTATATTCACGGGATAGCTATAAAAATGTACATTTCCAAAATGAATGCATTCTTCCAACGACAAAATTAATTGTATGTGTGTAAATAGATATGGCAGTTGCTAGAAGGAAAATGATGAGCAGAGAACAGGAAGAAAGATAAAAGAAGGTGCTGACAAGATTAGCAAATACGTAAATTTAAATGCCGGTGAAGATTCAATTATCAGTTTATGCTTTCTTTTTACCACATACAGGCTGAAAAGGATTCGTCTAGGACACTCCAAGTAGTTAAGTATAAGATGAGGAATCTTTTAAGTGGAACTGGTACGGTGGTACCAAAAACAGAAGTTTACTCAACTAAACGAGAGATTTTCTTATTTCTAACAAAGAAATTGGTTCATCTATTTAAGTTTTGCTATTTCAACCTGTTCTACTAATTTGACTATTCCCTTTTTACCATATTTTAATATTTTTGGAGTTTTTATAGTTTGTGAATAATCCATTTCTTAAAGTGGATTTCGATTGTAATCCGTCGGCTAGTTAAATCCATTTCTTATAAGAACTAATGCGAAGCATACTTCTTATTGTCCTTCATTTTTAATAGATTCTACGAGTAACAAGTGTTTTCTGTTGGACGAGTTCCTAGCCATACCTTTTTACTTCTCCATAACTTTTTTGGTGCCAGAAAAAGTCCGGGACAAAATTTAAGTTCTAACCACCAGTGTACATTCCAGTTTCAGCAAGCCAGACAAAAGTAATTTTAAATATGCACTTAAAAGCATGAGATCATGGCAGAAAAAGTAATACTACAAGTGAATCGATGTGTACCAGGGGATGTTGAGTCTGCTTGAAACACTAGTTGTAAGGAATGATCAATTGAGACTGAAACGAAACTGATGCTCTGCACCCACTGCAATAAGCCCTTGGAATTGTCGAGCACTGCATGCCCACCCATTATCTGCTTCCTTGAGGAAGGTTGTCCGATGCCACCTTTCATGAATGCAGAAGCCTTAGCATGAGTACTATACAATGGACTTGGTGAAGATCTCTCTTGCATTAAACTCATCTCCTGCTGCTGCAAAGAATTTCCATTGCTATTAGGAGGTATTCCATCAGGGAATGATCGACGAAGCTGCAGAGACCACTTCTTCACCTCCGGACCCCCAGCGGAATACAATGCTTTCTGCCACTCTGCAGAAACAATTTTTTTTAAATCATATTGATCTCACTCAAAAATCTCCACGGATTAATTACAAAGCAGCTGTAATAATAAAACTGTCCAGAGGCACCTCATTATCATGCCAAACTAATATATATAGAGGAAAAGGTTCAAAGTAGGATGAGAAAATGGAGGGCTAATGTAATACCCTGGCACTCGAGCTCAAAGAAGCAACCCACTCGTGCAATCACAAGATCTCTAGGCTTAGCAATACCAACATCAGGAGAACAAGCCTGGAGAATCTGGCATCCTTGTTGCAAAATTTGGATAAATAGGGACTGCAGACCCTTGGTGTCTTGCCGGCTACTGACTCCACCAAAGGGGTAAACATAACTGTCGAGCAACTCTCCCCTTGAATCTGTCCATACGCACACCATCCAACGCCAATCTTCTGTCCACCCATAACAACAATGCAGGCTCGGGAGTGCTTTTTGATGGCCAGTTCCAAAACCATCTGAATCCATGGGCTCATGCTGAGAAACAGGCCCATTATTATCTCCACTTCCTGAAGATGCAGAACTTTGCGCAAAG